TTGTGCAAGTTCTCCCACTTAAAAAGATGAGAGAGGCCTGTAATTTTCATAATAGTCACACGTCAACTATGACAGACAAATTGAGAAAAAAAAATCCAGAAAGTCACATTGTAGGGTTTTTAATGAATTTATTTGCAAATTATGGTGGAAAATAAGTATTTGGTCACCTACAAACAAGCAAGATTTCTGGCTCTCACAGACCTGTAACTTCTTCTTTAAGAGGCTCCTCTGTCCTCCACTCGTTACCTGTATTAATGGCACCTGTTTGAACTTGTTATCAGTATAAAAGACACCTGTCCACAACCTCAAACAGTCACACTCCAAACTCCACAATGGCCAAGACCAAAGAGCTGTCAATAATATAATAATAATAATATGCCATTTAGCAGACGCTTTTATCCAAAGCGACTTACAGTCATGCGTGCATACATTTTTTTTTTTTGTGTATGGGTGGTCCCGGGGATCGAACCCACTACCTTGGCGTTACAAGCGCCGTGCTCTACCAGCTGAGCTACAGAGGACCAGAAACAAAATTGTAGACCTGCACCAGGCTGGGAAGACTGAATCTGCAATAGGTAAGCAGCTTGGTTTGAAGAAATCAACTGTGGGAGCAATTATTAGGAAATGGAAGACATACAACATTTTACATTACATTTTAGTCATTTAGCAGACGCTCTTATCCAGAGCGACTTACAGTTAGTGAGTGCATACCTTATTTTTTTTATTTTTCATACCCCTCATGGGAATCGAACCCACAACCCTGGCGTTGCAAACGCCATGCTCTACCAACTGAGCTACATCCCTGCCGGCCATTCCCTCCCCTACCCTGGACGACGCTGGGACAATTGTGCGCCACCCCATGGGTCTCCCGGTCGCAGCCGGCTACGACAGAGCCTGGATTCGAACCAGGATCTCTAGTGGCACAGTTAGCACTGCAATGCAGTGCCTTAGACCACTGCGCCACTCGGGAGGCTAGACAAGACCACTGATAATCTCACTCGATCTGGGGCTCCACGCAAGATCTCACCCCGTGGGGTCAAAATGATCACAAGAACGGTGAGCAAAATTCCCAGAACCACACGGGGGGACCTAGTGAATGACCTGCAGAGAGCTGGGACCAAAGTAACAAAGCCTACCATCAGTAACACACTATGCCGCCAGGGACTCAAATCCTGCAGTGCCAGACATGTCCCCCTGCTTAAGCCAGTACATGTCCAGGCCCGTCTGAAGTTTGCTAGAGTGCATTTGGATGATCCAGAAGAGGATTGGGAGAATGTCATATGGTCAGATGAAACCAAAATATAACTCAACTCGTCGTGTTTGGAGGACAAAGAATGCTGAGTTGCATCCAAAGAACACCATACCTACTGTGAAGCATGGGGGTGGAAACATCATGCTTTGGGGCTGTTTTTCTGCAATGGGACCAGGACGACTGATCCGTGTAAAGGAAAGAATGAATGGGGCCATGTATCGTGAGATTTTGAGTGAAAACCTCCTTCTATCAGCAAGGGCATTGAAGATGAAACGTGGCTGGCTCTTTCAGCATGACAATGATCCCAAACACACCGCCCGGGCAACGAAGGAGTGGCTTCGTAAGAAGCATTTCAAGGTCCTGGAGTGGCCTAGCCAGTCTCCAGATCTCAACCCCATAGAAAATCTTTGGAGGGAGTTGAAAGTCCGTGTTGCCCAGCGACAGCCCCAAAACATCACTGCTCTAGAGGAGATCTGCATGGAGGAATGGGCCAAAATACCAGCAACAGTGTGTGAAAACCTTGTGAAGACTTACAGAAAACGTTTGACCTGTGTCATTGCCAACAAAGGGTATATAACAAAGTATTGAGAAACTTTTGTTATTGACCAAATACTTATTTTCCACCATAATTTGCAAATAAATTCATAAAAAATCCTACAATGTGATTTTCAGGATTTTTTGTTCTCATTTTGTCTGTCATAGTTGACGTGTACCTATGGTGAAAATTACAGGCCTCTCTCATCTTTTTAAGTGGGAGAGCTTGCACAATTGGTGGCTGACTAAATACTTTTTTTCCCCACTGTACATGAACAAATATTCCCATTTAGGTACAGTTTAAAACATTCTCACATCTATCTTTTTAAACTGATCAGATTACTCAACTCCTGATGTTAAAGTTGAAACACTGAGGTAAACACTAATATTCAGGCACTATATAAAAATAAAAAATAAAGTAGAACCCGTCTTGCCATCCAAAGAATCCTTCTTGCCTTCCAAAGAATCATCAAAGAACCCTTTCTTCCAAAACGGTTCTTAAGATGTTAAAGGTTCGAGGTAGAACCCCATAACCACCTTTCCCATGCGCTGGCCAGCTACTCGATAATATTAACAGTCTATAACAATAGTCTAGCAACTACCTGACTGTGCAGTATATGAACTTATCTGTTCTATTCAAATACACAACAGGGCTTTGTGGGAGATTTATGGTTTAGTAAAATTACAGGCAAAACAAATGAGGGGGTGTGAAAATCAACACAACAAAGGCTGGCTCTCTTACAAACAATAGCACATTCTTGGCTGTAAACGCAATACACAGCCCTACATCCATTTAGCTATGTAACTATACCACTCTCCATTTACATTTAGCAGACGCTCTTATCCAGAGCGACTTACATTATTCTTTTTTTCTTTTTTCATACTGGCCCCCCATGGGAATCGAACCCACAACCCTGGCGTTGCAAACGCCATGCTCTACCAACTGAGCTACCTCCCTGCCGGCCATTCCCTCCCCTACCCTGGACGACGCTAAAACTGAACTTAAAAACAGCAAGTGTTTATTTTGGACTGTCTCTCTGTGTTGTTATACCTTAACTGACCTGATGTTGTCAGTTAAGGCATAGACCACTGCGCACTCTCCCGAGTGGCGCAGTGGTCTAAGGCATTGCATTGCAGTGCTAGCTGTGCCACTAGAAATCCTGGTTCGTATCCAGGCTCTGTCGTAGCCGGCCGCGACCGGGAGACCTATGGGGCGGCGCACAATTGGCCCAGGGTAGGGGAGGGAATGGCCGGCAGGGATGTAGCTTAGTTGGTAGAGCATGGCGTTTGCAACGCCATGGTTGTGGGTTCGATTCCCATGGGGGGCCAGTATGAAAAAAATAAAAGTATGCACATTACTAACTGTAAGTCGCTCTGGATAAGAGCGTCTGCTAAATGACTAAAATGTAAATGTAAAATGTTGGAGCCTTCTAGCACATGAAGGCTCTGGTCAAAAGTAGTGCACTATATAGGGAATAGGGTGCCGTTTGGAACGCACCCTCAGTCTGAAGCAGAGAGCCTGAGGGGAGTTCCACAGAGGTCCTTATCACAGGTGGCTATGGAAATGACACATGCAATGGGCAGAGAGAGAGGAAAGCATGAAGTAATTTTCCACCCTCAACCAGGGAGAGAGACCAACCAACTGTCCTTTGAGATGGCATCTAGAGGTCACTGACAAAATAATGGAAACACTTGAGTAAATGAGTGTTCTGGCGGCTCTGTTATGGTGTGGGGTGCATTTACCTGGTATGGTTTAGGTCCAATCAACCCCTAAGAGGGCAAGGTAAACAGCAATAAATACACTGCCATTCTGAGTGATCACCTTCAACCAATGGGGAATAATCTATATCCTGATGGGAGTGGTCTCTTACAGGATGACAACGTCCCCATCCACAGGGCACGAGTTTTCACGGAATGGTTTGATGAGCATGAAAACAATGTGAACCATATGCCATGGCCGTCTCAGTCACTAGATCTCAACCCAATTGAAAACTTATGGGAGATTCTGGAGTGGTGCCTGAGACAGCGTTTTCCACCACCATCAACAAAACACCAAATTATAGAATTTCTTGTGGAAGAATGGTGTCACATCCCTCCAATACATCTATGCCAAGGTGCATTGAAGCTGTCCTGGCTCGTGGTGGCCCAACGCCCTATTAAGACACTTTGTGTTGGGGTTTCCTTTATTTTGGCAGTTACTGTACCTGTATCTAGTCCGGGAAATCCCAGACCTAGGGCTGCAGTATGCTGGAACATTGTTAATGTGAGAGGCAACCCGTCTGCCTAGGGACACTAGCATATATCTATCTTCACACAGCGGCACCAGACCAGTGACCTTTACAGGCCTGGGTCACAGCCCTGTCCTATTTCCCATTACTTCTCATTTGCACGCCACACACTGTAACTAATGGTCCTGTTGACAACTATAATATAAATATAATATATTATAATATATAGCATATTATGTTATATTATTTGCTATCTGATGTGGGTTATAACAGTATACCAGTATTAGGGTAAATACCAGTATTATGTATTAACAGTATTAGGGTTTTATTTATTCTGACAGATTCTCTGGGCTGTATGTACTTCAGCAGTAAATCTTTATTTAGATTTTCATTTTTTCAAGACATCAATGGCTGTTGATACAGTATGTGCAATCAATCAATTAATTAATTGTGGCTTTAAAACTTCATATTAGATTGAAAATTCAGGATTGCAATTACGGGTGTTGGCTCAAATCTGATTAGAAGAAAAGTAAGTACTGTAAATAGCTATGTTTAAATATAATATTTCAAATTCATACAACAAATCATACAACAAGTGCTTCCTTACATATGTAGTGAGAAGCCATTCATTGGCATGGCATTTACATTAACTCATTCAACAACCTTTAGCTACAATTGAAATAGCTATCTGAACTTTCTGAAAGTGATACCCATTCACAAGCCAGGCACAAAACATGGACATAATAATAATATCGACACTTACTTCAATTAAAGCTTAAAAGTGCAAGTTATCTGTATGCTAAACCTATAACTGAGTGCATTAGTGTTAGGTAGGTATCCCGAGACAGAAGAGTCATTTTCCAAGATTCCATGGAACCATAGAGGTCTTCCAGGTATGGAATGTTTCAGTGCTAAGGAGTCCTCCTCTGATAACAGGTTTCTCCCATCACACCAGTTGCCCCCCCTCCTGTTGTTGGTGTGACTATTGTGTGTGTGTGTGTGTGTGTGTGTGTGTGTGTGTGTGTGTGTGTGTGTGTGTGTGTGTGCATGTGTTTAGTGTATATACAGCTTTGTTGCCTAAATACATGTTAGGAGAGGAGTGAGACCATATTTTCCTCACGTTTCATCTGTCACAGTGTGTCCAGTGGAGAGCTCAGCTCGTAGTCAGAGGTGACCTCTGCAAAAGGTATTGTTCTCTCCCAACGCCATGGGCTCTCCGCTCTGCGGGTTGCTTTGACTTCCAAATGCTGTCAGTGTCCTGTCAGACGGACAGATGGGCAGGGAACAGGGACAGACAGACCTTCAGGCACTGTCCATGTATCTATAGAGGGTTATGTCGTACACAGGACTGTCCATCTATAGGGGTTGTACAAACGGCAAACTGTTCGTGTCGTTGACCCTAAACTTCAGCTCTGGTCTGATAGGCTGATAGGTCAGAGTTCAGGTAGGCCTCATTGTGATGGGGTCCCTATAAAAACCAGCTCATATCAAGGATCCAATGGACAACAGAAAAAATAGAGTCAACATGAGGAAACTATATCAACAAAAATGTATTGAGGAAAGAGGTGTAAAGTAGTCTGTGTTCACCACTGGGGTATCTTGTGCAGTCCATTACCCTGAAAAAAGAAGAGATGGAGAGATGATATTGTTAGAAAACGAAATAGGTCTAAAGTCATATAGATATGCATAGTGTAATGAAATTCCTAACGCAATATGAAAAAAGACTGAGTTGAAAGAAGGTCAAAGGCCGTAACACCAGAAAGAAGTCAGAAACCCACAGGACAAAGGAAGTAAAAGCCACGACTGGTCCAAAACAATAAGAGAAACAGATGGATAGACAAAACAACAAATCGTCCAATAAGACAAGAGCAGGAAGAGACTGAAGTGACAGGCTTGTCAAGGTGAAACGTAGACAGAGAGGGAATGCATTGTGATTGTGTGTGTTTACTGTATACAGTATCCACCTTTGTAGCCAAAATACCCCCCATGCTAAGAGAGTGAGACTAGTATTTTCCACCATTCTCAGAGGAGAAGAGGACAATGGACAGGGAGCGAGGTGAGGAGAATGTGTCAGAGGACAGCAGGGATACGTCCGAAATGGCCACCATATTTCCTATTTAGTGCACTACTTTTGACCCGGCTCTGGTCAAAAGTAGTGCACTACAAAGGCAATAGTGTGCCATTTGGGATGCACCACAAGGGCTTTCAATCTCCACCTACGCTGTGGCCGTGCTGCGTCTGTGTGTCTGCTGTCTCGTCAGTCCGTACTGACAGGATACTGCCCTCGCTGTGGGCCGCGTAGCTGTTATTGGTGGAGGCTCGGGGGATGTGAGACATTTCCTGCTGCAACCAGAGATACACAAGGACAAACAACATGCACATCACGATCCAAACAAAAGAGAAGGGAAGAATATTTAAACAAATGGATATTAATAAAGATTCCTCTTTCTTTTTTAAAGAAAGAATTGAAAAACACAACAACAACAATCTGTGGCAGTATGTGTGTGTGTGCGTGTCGTGCCCGTGTGTACGTGTGCGTGTGTGTGTGTCGTGCCCGTGTGTACGTGTGCGTGTGTGTGTGTGTGTGTCGTGCCCGTGTGTACGTGTGCGTGTGTGTGTGTGTGTGTCGTGCCCGTGTGTACGTGTGCGTGTGTGTGTGCACGGACAAACAATTGATGGCCAGTACTCACATTCCCCATTCCCCTGATGATGAGTGCCAGCTCAGTGGGTTGGTAGACAGAAGGGTGGAGCTGACCACTGTACCCGCTGTATGGGGACACAACCTTCGGACCTGCAAGGTAAAACAACAAGAAAAACAATCGACAACATTAGATCCGAATCATACACTGAGTGTTCAAAGCATTATGTCTTTCCATGACACAGACTGACCAGGTGAATCCAGGTGAAAGCTATGATCCCTTATTGATGTCACTTGTTAAATCCATTTCAATCAGTGTAGATGAAGGGGAAGTTACAGGTTAAAGAAGGATTTTTAAGCCTCGAGACAATTGAGACATGGATTGTGTATGTGTGCCATTCAGAGGGTGAATGGGCAAGACAAAAGATTTAAGTGCCTTTGAACGGGGTATGGTTCTCACGCTCAACAGTTTCCCGTGTGTATCAAGAATGGCCCTCCACCCAAAGGACATCCAGCCAACTTGACACAACCGTGGGAAGCATTGGAGTCAACATGGGCCAGCATCCCTTTGGAATGCTTTCGACACCGTGTAGGGTCCATGCCCTGACGAGTTGAGGCTGTTCGGAGGGAAAAAAGGGTGCAACTCAATATTAGGAAGGTGTTCGTAATGTTTTGTACACTCAGTGTATATGTCGGGACAATGGATGCTTTCTTTATATTATCACATTTTCAAATCCTAAATCTCAATCAATCCCACTTAGTCAGACATCCACGGGCGCTCTCAAGCATTATTCTCTGGGTATTCAGCGTTCCCAAGCAACCAGTCATGGTAGCTTGGTGTTGCATTTAACCACCATGACAAGATCATAAACAACAGATGCAGGCGTTACGTCTATTATCTCCACTGTGCAGTCAACTGTGTATCCTCTATGAAGGTAGGATGGATAATGTTTGGTTAATGTGAGAGACAGTACATCCTCTATGAAGGTAGGATGGATAATGCTTGGTTAATGTGAGAGACAGTACATCCCTATGAAGGTAGGATGGATAATGCTTGGTTAATGTGAAAGACAGTACATCCACTATGAAGGTAGGATGGATAATGCTTGGTTAATGTGAGAGACAGTACATCCACTATGAAGGTAGGATGGATAATGCTTGGTTAATGTGAGAGACAGTACATCCACTATGAAGGTAGGATGGATAATGCTTGGTTAATGTGAGAGACAGTACATCCTCTCTAAAGGTAGGATGGATAATGCTTGGTTAATGTGAGAGACAGTACATCCTCTATGAAGGTAGGATGGATAATGCTTGGTTAATATGAGAGACAGTACATCCACTATGAAGGTAGGATGGATAATGCTTGATTAATGTGAGAGACAGTACATCCTCTCTAAAGGTAGGATGGATAATGTTTGGTTAATGTGAAAGACAGTACATCCTCTCTAAAGGTAGGATGGATAATGCTTGGTTAATATGAAAGACAGTACATCCTCTCTAAAGGTAGGATGGATAATGCTTGGTTAATGTGAAAGACAGTACATCCACTATGAAGGTAGGATGGATAATGCTTGGTTAATATGAGAGACAGTACATCCTCTCTAAAGGTAGGATGGATAATGCTTGGTTAATGTGAGAGACAGTACATCCTCTCTAAAGGTAGGATGGATAATGCTTGGTTAATGTGAAAGACAGTACATCCTCTCTAAAGGTAGGATGGATAATGCTTGGTTAATGTGAAAGACAGTACATCCTCTCTAAAGGTAGGATGGATAATGCTTGGTTAATGTGAAAGACAGTACATCCACTATGAAGGTAGGATGGATAATGCTTGGTTAATGTGAGAGACAGTACATCCTCTATGAAGGTAGGATGGATAATGCTTGGTTAATGTGAAAGACAGTACATCCTCTCTAAAGGTAGGATGGATAATGCTTGGTTAATGTGAAAGACAGTACATCCTCTCTAAAGGTAGGATGGATAATGCTTGGTTAATGTGAAAGACAGTACATCCTCTATGAAGGTAGGATGGATAATGTTTGGTTAATGTGAAAGACAGTACATCCTCTCTAAAGGTAGGATGGATAATGCTTGGTTAATGTGAAAGACAGTACATCCTCTCTAAAGGTAGGATGGGTAATGCTTGGTTAATGTGAAAGACAGTACATCCTCTCTAAAGGTAGGATGGATAATGCTTGGTTAATGTGAAAGACAGTACATCCTCTCTAAAGGCAGGATGGATAATGCTTGGTTAATGTGAAAGACAGTACATCCTCTCTAAAGGTAGGATGGGTAATGCTTGGTTAATGTGAGAGACAGTACATCCACTATGAAGGTAGGATGGATAATGCTTGGTTAATGTGAAAGACAGTACATCCTCTATGAAGGTAGGATGGATAATGTTTGGTTAATATGAGAGACAGTACATCCACTATGAAGGTAGGATGGATAATGCTTGGTTAATGTGAAAGACAGTACATCCTCTCTAAAGGAAGGATGGATAATGCTTGGTTAATGTGAGAGACAGTACATCCTCTATGAAGGTAGGATGGATAATGCTTGGTTAATGTGAGAGACAGTACTTCCTCTATGAAGGTAGGATGGATAATGCTTGGTTAATGTGAAAGACAGTACATCCTCTCTAAAGGTAGGATGGATAATGCTTGGTTAATGTAAGAAACAGTACATCCTCTATGAAGGTAGGATGGATAATGCTTGGTTAATGTGAAAGACAGTACATCCTCTCTAAAGGTAGGATGGATAATGTTTGGTTAATGTGAGAGATCTTTTTGTTTTCCCCAGGTGGAAATGCCTGGTCCCCCTGTGAAATATCTGCCTACTATGATACTGTTGCCACACCTTGTTTGCTGTTGAGACAGCACGGTAACGCAAACACAAGAAGTGATGTTGGGGCAAGCTGATGAGTGTGTGCGTGTGCGTGTTTGTGTGTGTATGTGTCAGTGTTTATGTATGCATGGTACACTGGTTAGGTCACTGTTTTGTCCTAGACAAGGTGTAATTACTAACTCCCATTGAGTCACCTGGTAGATCGGTGGGAATGGAATGTATGTGTGGGAGAGAGTGGTGGGTGAGAGAGAGGACTTGGTTGCTTAATGTTTAAATAAGTCCTCAGGCTAAACAAAGACAATTATGGACTTTTTCTGGTTTCATAGCTCTCTCTCATCACAAAGGATATCCTCCTTCGTTCTCAGTCTCTCCCAGAAAAAGTTGATGAGTTTTAAAACAAACATAATTTCCCGTTAATATTTAATAATAGTTCAATATGAATATAAAATCGCCAAATATGGAAGGGTTATTTTTCTCAAAACATTCTCCGTTCTCACCTCATTATTAGTTTCATATTGTTTATTTTCTTTCCTTTTATTTATCCAAACATGATATTACACTCAGTAAAAACGGACACTGACTGAACACTGTATGTCCCTCTATGTTCTAATATTGTATTGATATAGTGTCGGAAATCCAAGACCTAAGGCAACATGCTAGAACATTGGTACATTGTGGGAGGCTAAATCAAATCTAACCTGTCTGTATAGAGACTAGTCACCTGGTGCCAGCTGATCTCAACAGACCAGGACGTACAGTAGGTCAACCTCAGTCAGGATAGAGCTGCTAACTCATAAAGGCGCCATCCGCATTACCATGTACTATTATCCCTCCCTCCCACTCTGACCTAAACCATTGTCTGCATCCCAAATGGCACCCTATTCCCTATAAAGTGCACTACTTTTGACCAGTGCCCTATGTGCCTTGGTCAAAAGTAGTGCACTATATAGGAAACGGGGTGTCATTTGGGACACATCACTTGTGGTGATGAGATGAGGCCAGGGCAGGCTGAGGGCAGGTAGAGCAGCATCAAAGAGATAGAGTGGGAGGAGTGGAAAGATACAGTGTCCTGTCTGGATCTGTTGCAGCCTGCAAGATCAGATACGGGTCACCAATAGGATTAAAACCACGTCAGCATATCAAATTCTTAAAAGTATGCAGATTGTACTGTATACTGGATGTGAAATTCAGTACCATTGGGTTTTCTTATCCATCTCGCCGTTTTTTTTCAACGTACTGTTTTCGAATATATTTTATTTCAGACTCCGGGTCGTTGAAAATAATGTATATTGGAATATGAACAAATAAGCCAACTGAAGTTCATTATATTTATAGTATTTACAGTGTGTGCAGAGTGTGCAGATTGCTCCATGTAGACAACAAAGTTATTTTATTCATGTCTGACTGTACTGATGCAAGCCCCATACCTTCCTGAACCTTCTGAACCTCCCCTTTCTAATGTTTGTTTAGTGTGTTCGATAGATTCATTAGATGTGTTAGATACATTAGATGTGTTAGATATATTAACTGTATGTGAGTGGACAAAACATCCTGTCATCTAGTGAAGTGTACTTATTAGTGAAGCCAGGTAATTTATGTGGGTCACCAAGTGTGTGTGTGTGTGTGTGTATGTGTGTGTGTGTCGCTACATACCGGAGCTGGGCTCATCCATAGAGAAAGCCTTGTTCTCCATAAACATGTTCTGGGCTCCTTGCTCCCTCAGGATATTCTCATAGCCCACACCTCTGTTCGGGTCCTCTCCGAACCCTGGTGCGCCCCCCTCCTCCTCCCGGGTCAGAGAGCATATGTCAGGGATGGTGTAGAGGACCAGGAACACCCAGGCGTTGCTGACCAGGGCGATGGCCAGGGTAGGGTCATCCCAGCTGGGTCCGCCGGTCCTCTCGTTCCCCCAGACGTACATGGTGATCCAGGCCACCCAGATGAACACAGAGAGGAGACCCGTGACGAGGATGAAGGCTCCCTCCTGGTGCCTCTGCTTGTGTTTCCCGCACAGGGTGGGTAAGGAAGCCACTACGACAGCTAGGAGAAGATTCAGTACGTAGATCAGCGCCATGACAAAGTCCTGGTTGATGATGTTACAGGGCACGTCTGCGGCCGTGCCTAGTGCTGTCCCTGTATCGTTGGGTGGATTGCGAACCACAGTGATGATCAGCCACTCCGTGTTGATGACCACCTCCACCAGCCAGAGCCCCAGGGCTCCCAGACACAGTACCCAGGCCCGGGGCCCCCGATTCCCCCTGCGGGCCAGGAGGTTCAGCCTTACACACTGCATGAGAAGACACGCGAAGCACCCGGAAAATAGCACCCCGAAGAGGAAGCGTCGCGAGGCGCAGGTGGCGAAGTCCTTCCCTACGATGAAGGAGAAGGTGAGGCAGAAGAGGCCCATGGTACAGAACAGGAAGCAGGCATGGAGGCCCATGGAGCTCCTCCTGTTCTTGTCTGTGATGAAGGGCATGCTGGCCAGGAGGACGATGAGGAGGATGATGGAAGCCATCACGCCGGCCGCCGCCAACGACTCCAGAACGATGCCCCATACGGCACTGAGGTCACACAGGCTGTAGTACAGGGAGCCTACGTTGGAGCCACACCCCACCGGGGTCACGCTGGCAGCCATCGAGACGGGGAGAGACCAGAGAGTGGTGGCGGTGGTGACCAGAAGGAGATGAAGTCTCTGGGGTGTGTGGTCCATGGAGTTGAGCAGCACCTGTTCACACACAGATAGAAGAAGGACAGACTGAGGAGGTTGGCATATGAGGAGGTTGGCATATGAGGAGGTTGGCATACGAGGAGGTTGTTAAGAGGGAGAAGTGAGAAACCAGTGACATTGTCATACATTGAAGAGTCACTCTCGATACACCCAAGCAGGTAAACATGAGTCAGGAGCAAACAGATAAAATCATACTATAATCAGGATGTAACGGCATATACCCACTTCACACAAACAACAGAGGGAAAGATTTGATTTCTGTTTAAAATG